GAGTACACAAATACTTTTTGTAGTGAATCACCTCCAAAACTTTGTGAATAGCATCTCAACTAGTCACCACAACACCCTTTGCTTTTCCCAGTGAAGGCTGAGTCCCAGGCAGAATGCAGCAGCGGAGTCGGGGCTGTGCTGGACTTGCCTCTGGGCCATTGTGCAGCCTTTCCTCCAGATTGTCCAGCTGTCTTGTCTTCTCCACAGATCCTTCTCTTTTGCCCATGCTTATTTGAGATTTTCATCTAGCAGATTTACTGGCATAAAACCAGATCTCAACTGACCGAAGAAGCCAACAGAAGCACTTGCCAAAAGGCAGTTTAGATCTTCCCTGGCTGCCTCAGCCTGTTTTCTTTTCCAGAGACAATCAGGGGCATGTGATTTTGATTCAGAGAAGGATTTGTCCTGTCTCACTACTCTGATTTAGACATTTGGGAGGAAAGAAAAAGAAAGAATGTGATCCTTGAAGAAGATAACCTCATGGATGTGTCAGACTAGAATATGGCTAGCAAGGAAATAGCCTCACCAAGTTGAGAAAAAGCATCATCCATCCTCTCAAAGCACAGTCCTCTTCTAGTCAGAAGGGAGCCATGGTTCTGTGGTGACACTGAACAAAGAAATCCTCTTCTAGAACAGGATGTGACAATGCTGGAACACGTGCCATTTCAGGCACCTTCACATGCTCATCTGCATAGTGCCAGGGGTATGACAGATGCCTCCATCCAAGATAAAACTCTATTCTTATTCATCCCCTGTGACTTTGTTGCTTCAGGGTCAGAGTTTTAAAACTGTGCCTTAATTGCAGCAGGTTCATGTCAACTTCATTCTTACCTAGGAGATGGCTTTCTCAGAAAAGTAAGAAGGTCATTCAGTGTTTTAAAAATACATCAATAATTAAACAATACAGTCCTTTCTTCAGCAGGTTGCTATCAAATCCATGCTGCAGCAGTTGCAGGAGGTAACCATTAAAATTGAGTGTGGATGTGTATGAATATAGGTTGTTGATGGTTTTGTATCCACAAGTTCAAGGCAAGACTGTCTGGTTTTAATACTAAGGTAATATTTTAAAGGTGGATTTAATTTCCAAATCTTAGTATTTTATACTTTGTTTCAGTTCTCTAATGACCTTTCAAAAATCTGTTTTTCTATGTGCTTCAGAGCTCTTTGAAAGCAGTTGACAGCCAATATTCTGCCTCACCAGAAGTATTTGGTAGCACTCAATATCCCTACATGATAAGCAAAATCAAATACGAAGGCTTCTGCCTGTCTGAATACAGTATTGCCAGTGAGCAGCAGAAAGAGGAATGCTGCTTTGAGTCCAAAAAACATGTTGACAGGAAAACCACACTTTGAGTTCTTACAAATCTGTTTCAGGAACAGGCAGTTTCCATCAAAAGGTATCACTTGCTGTGTATTCAATCAAAACGTTTTAAATGTCTTTTTGAAGAGGCATCTGCAGAACATACTGGCTGCACTCCCAAGTTTACTGTTTTAAGGTTATGTTGCACCTCCTGTGAGATACCCAGGGATCTCTACTAACTCCCAGCGCTAATTTCTGAGCAGTCATTGGTTAGTACTGTCTTTGATGCTACTGTATGAAGCAGTGTATTCAAAAGCCAGATGTTTAGGGGTCTCTACTCTGAACTAGAAATTTCAGGAGACTGTTCTAGGCTAGTACTTGGTGTCTCATCTTACATTTGGTCTGCTTTAAGGAGCAATCATTTGGGGGTATTGAAATCTCAACTCAATGCAATCAGAAAGAAAATGGATTTTGGTTTGTTGGGTGGGTTTTTTTTTTTTTGTTTCTTGGTTGTTGTTTTTTTTAATAGATGAGTGACTGAAGACATGAATAAAGAATGTGTCTTTAATTTCCTAAGGAGACATTGCAAATGTGCTAGTGCAAAGATCTGGGAGATTCCTTTTTATTGCTGTTGCTACACAGTTAGTGTTTGATTAACTCTTCTTACACTTTTGGTGTGCTCCAATTTTTTAATCAATTCCATTTTATACTATTTGATATTTACACTATTTGGTTGCAGTATGTCCCTCTAAAGTCTATAAGTAGGGCATGTTTTACCACAGCAGCTATGTATTACCTTGGTCTTTTGTGCTCAAGGCTTGTACTTCATAAAAACTTAGGCAAATCTAAAATATAGAACCAGCCAAAACCACAAATTCTGATTTAGACCTACTTGGCTCTTCAGAATCATCACGAGCCTTTAGGCAGTGAGTCAGCCAAGAGCTGGTTTTCTCTTCAGTATTGTGTAAACACAAGATGTTTCCCTGGGCTAAATATTATTAAGGAAAAAACCTCATGTTTTTATTATTTTCTTTTTAAATGTCATGTATTGTATAAAAAATGATTAATACATAAAGATACCATATGCGGAAACCTTAAAATCCTTTTTTTTACACTCAGTTTTGAACATGAAGCATTTTTGGGGTACCCTGATATTTTTTATTTGGTTCCGTAAGTGATAATGATTTGGATCAAACTACTGACAAAGCTTCATGTATTGTGGTAAAATCAGCTTTTGAAATTGCCATTTCATTTAAAGTAATTAAGAAAAAATGCAGAACTCAATGTACAGTTCTATCATGATGTGATTTGCCTTGTTAAAATGCATGATTATGTTCTGCAGCTGACTAGTACACTCTGAGGGAAAACTTCAGATATGGCTATGTAGGTGTATGTAAACATGACATGGGGTATTAATCAAGAGGATGCTGTAAGTCTGTCAGCTTTGACAAGCACTGGAAAGGCTAATGACTTCTCTAGACAACACATCATTTTGCTTCTGGCAAGCCCTCTCATTCACCTTCTATTTTCCCAGAAATACCCTTTGCAGTGATTAATGACAGGTAGTTTTCTCACCGAGCTGTCACAGCCCTAGCACCCTCTCCTTTCCCTCACTGCCCACCCTTGCTGTCGGTAGCTGTGGCTGAGCACCTGCTGGGTGGTGGGTGCTCCCACTCCCTTCACTGCAGACACTTCCAGCTGTGGTGGTGGCTTCCACTGTGGGAATTCAACACAGGCTGGCGGGCATCAATCTGCCAGTAGATTGATCCCCTCGTAGCTCTTCACCATTCATAGTTGAAGTGGATGACAGGTAAGATTAGAGGGAAATAAATATATATCTGAGAGAAATATGAGCAAGAATATGGTTATTCCCTTTTTGACCCCATTGAGAAGTGTCAGTTAGCAGAAGCAGTTGATGGAGCTGGTAGCTGTTTGAGACAGACAAATCCTTTTTCTTCTTTGTTTTAGGGAAGGAAAAGCCTTTCTTACCTGAAGTCTGTCAGCTTTCCAGTCAGAGCTTACTTCCTTTTCAGACTGATGCAGTTGAGGCTTTAGTTCCTCACAGTTTCTCATCCACATTTCCATTAACAAGTTTCCAACCAACATACCCTTCACTGCTGCTAATCTAATTCCTTTCTCTGAGCAGCTTCACATGTTTCTAAGTTTGGGAGTTTGAGAGGGTTCTTCTATTTTTTGTGCGTGTGTGTTTTTTGTTTGTTTGTTTTGCTTTGTTATCAGCTTCCATAAATGAATGTAAAACTTTCTACAGTTCAGCGTTTAAGACCAACAAACCCCTAAGAATAAGCTTGCCATTCTCAACATTTCTTCTCTTCTTGCACTGATCTTTTCTTTGGCCTTCCACCATGAAAATACGCTGCAGGTTGGTGCATGGCCTGAATGAATGCAGAGAGTCAGAGCTTTATGGGTTCTGTCTTACAGAGGTATTAATGTACCCAGAATATCTTTCCTTTGTTTCATGGTGTGTTCTTATTTTGCTTAAGGAGTCTTAATGAGGGCCTGAGTTCTTTTGGAAGACTGTTCTCAGTGGTGTTGTGTGGATTTGGTTATTACCTGGTTGTCATTTTATAAGTGATAAGCAGCTTGGTTTGGGTTTTTTTCTTTTTAAGGGAATATAAATAAGTCATGTGCAAATTTTTTTACCTACAAGCATTTATTATTATTATGAAGATGAAGTTTCCAGTGAGCAGAAAGCTGGCTTCCAAAGAAGTACCTTATTTTTTATACTGTTGCAGCTGACTGGGTTATAGTGAAATTAGCCCCTGTTTCAATAGTTAACTTGTTTAAATATTTGTCTATTTTATCTCTCCTAAAATTGAAGGCATTTAATTAAAAGTTAGAAAAAGAGAAGGTCAAATTACACTAGGGACTGCAGACTTTATTTTTAATGTAAGTTACTTTTTAATGATCACTTAAGAAAGAATCTTGAATTATTAAGTGAATGTACACTTCTGCTTTCTATTTAATTTAGGGTAGTCTAATGCTTATAGTTTGCAATTATGCTTTCTCTTTCGAAATCAGCATCTATTGTCTGATCATGGAATTTGTTAACATAGCCCTTAAAGTTTGTTGTTCTGCTGAAATCTATGACTAATTATGGTTTCTTTTTTGGTTTTTTTCCCCCGTCTTGTTTTGTTTATGACTTGTAAGATATAATACTGCTGAGAAAACAGTTGTGTGACATTAAGAATACTGCCTAAGATAATAAAAGTCCAGTGACTGGAGACTCCTGCGTTTGCTATTTAAAAGATTGTTTGAAGGTCCTGCCCAGGAAAAGGGGATTTTAATCATATTAGCAAAATATACTAACATGAAGTCTGACTGTGCTTTTAGTATGAGTTCAGTCACAGTGTGTGGTGTGTGGATGTACCCATACGTGCAGGAGGTGGTAGGAAATGCCTGCAGGGTTCTTTTGTAGTACAACAGGAGCTGAGCTCCTCGAAAAATAACTGTACAAGGACCTGCACACACAGTCTTTTGGTTGTTTCTCACCTTATGAAAAAGACTATTGTGAGGGTAGAGAATTTTTTAAAAAGCAACAAACACAGGTGAGAACACACACAGATGCAATACCAGCTCTACAGTAGAATTAAAATCCTCCCTTCTCCCCTCAGATCCAAGACAGGCTGTAAAGACATGAAAAAGATGACTGATGTTTATCTTTTCTTCCCCGTTTCAATAGTGCGGCTTCATGACAGCATATCAGAAGAAGGATTCCATTACTTAGTCTTTGACTTGTAAGTATGTGTTTTGCATATGTTTAGCATGTTGGTGATGTGGTATTCAAACTTCTTGATGTAAACACAAGCTCACAAGATAAATGTGTGGTTCTGATGCAATGTGTTGGGCAAACAGAGCTGGTAAACAGAGCTGGAAGGATAGTAACATATTAGGTTGTTTGCATATGCAGGAGCTGATTTGTGTGTGTCACTCAAAGAATTCCATATAAAACTTTGAATAAATAGGGCCACTGTTGAAGTGGATTTTAATATGAAATGTGTGTATTTAAGTAGAAGTTACATGATATCTGCCAAAGTTAAGCAAACATAAGACCTGGAAAAAGTAATTTGCTGCAAGCCAGTTGGCTGTAAGGGAAACAAAAAAACATGTGGAAGAATAGTTTCTCCTCAGAAAATTTCCAATACTGAATTGAAAGGTAAGCCAGAGTTTCCTAGAGGGAGACTCTTTCAGTATATTATTCCTGCTTCATATCATACTGATATATGGAATCTTGCATTTTTATGCCATTCAGAATGTAAAATGCCCAGCATATGGCAAGGAAGTTTGCTATGTATTTCCCATCTTGCTTCAGGAATTTCAGTCCTGTGAGCTGTTGATGTAGTGACTGTGAATGTGGAGCTTGTTTCTTCAAGATCTGGCTGTTCACTGGAAGAAGGGATGGTGACAAGATGAATGGTGTCTCAGACTCTGAAAAAGAGATACCGATCTTCATTCTTCCCTAGAACAGCCAAACTTTTCCACTCACTTGAAAAATGACTGCTTTTGGTTCTGGGTATGGGCAAACATGAATGTTAAGGAATTGACTGGCAAAACTGGCTTATTTAAGTAATATTATCTGTTTCAGATGCAAATTTTTCCAGGACAGTTTCTGTTTTTGACAAACAACACCCCTCTCCCCCAGGAGCATTCTTAGGCCCAACATGGTTTTGTTGGTTAGAATGAGAGTAAAAATGTGAAATAACTAATTACTGAGCATACAAGCTGAAATATTTGTCAGCATAGGTACATTAGAATCTGGATCTTCCACAATTGTGTGCTTTCCTGTTCAGGGTACATTCTGTTTTACTTTCTGATTTAATTTTTTTGAAAGAAATCTGTGAAGACTTGTTTGAGACTAGATTTCAGACTTGCTATACAAAAATATTACATAGTCTTTCTGCAGTGAGGACATTCAGGGTTCAGTACTCAAATCCTAACTGGGCTCAACAGAACTTGTATCTGATTTGCATATTTTCCAGGTAAGTGCTCTGGCTGCTGGCTTGGAAGTGGCTCTAGGGAACAACATGCATATTTATTCTCTGACATGCACCGAGTTTGTTGTTTGGGTTTTTTGTTTGTGGTGTTTTGTTTTGTTTTAATGGCTACAAAAGAGATCTTTCTATGTGGAAAAATCTTTTCAATCCTGAACGTTTCCAAGAAGTGGAAGCAGAATTCTTAGTTCTAGGGACAATATCCCTTTTATAAAACAGTTAATTTTTGTTGTACTGCTGTACTGTTAGAAACTCTTGGCCTACTCTGGTTGCAGTTAATCCACTTCTGCCTTAAAGGCAATATATAATGCCAGGCATATCTCAGGAGTTATGATTGCAATGTGAACTAGAAGGCATTTGAACAACTTCAAAGTTGTAGATACCAGTATCTGTATCTCAATAGTAACAGAACAAATAGAAGCCTGTATTCTGCAATAAAAATTAATGCCTAACCCAAAGATACTGTCTTGGCAGAAAACCTGGTTCTGCAGGAAGCATTCTGCACTGCCTGGAATTTACTCTCTTTTTTCCCCTCAGTCCCATTCAGGACAAGCACAAGAACAGACTCAAATATATGCTGTTCATCTGTGATGCTCTGTGTGCTTTTGTTTTCCATCCTCTTCAAAGAAGGAAGACTTCAGCATATATGTACAGCTTTTTATGTTTCCATCATGTGGTTTGGGTTTTGTGTCAAAATTAACTATTTTGAAAAAAAAAAAAAGAAAACAGATATCTAACTGGTAGAGGAAGTGACTATACTTACTGATAGTTGTCTTTGGAAAAGCAACGTGTTGCATTCCTGAAGAACTTTTGCCTAATTAGTAAGGATGGTTCTTCACAATTAAATAAATTTCTGCTTTAATGCTCACTATTTGTTAGTGGAACTTCATCTTTTTTGGCAGTCACAAGTATGTGGGTTAGTGGGGCTTGTTTAAAAGCACATGAAAGAGCTGCCACAAAAGAGGTACTGTTTGTACTTCTGTAATATTAAGGCCAAGTACAAGCTTATTTATTTATTTATTTGCTTTTTACTCAACAGGAGCCTGACTGTGGTATAACTCTGTCACTCCACCCACGCCTACCATCATGTCATTATCTTAATGATTTCTTTCAGACTGTGTGGGATACAGTATGACTGTTTCTTTAGAATTTTCTTTTAGACTGCCTCCCACATAAGAAAGCGAAGAGGGAGAGGGCTTTTTCTGAAAGCAGGAAAGAAACATCATTATCACTTTCTGTGTTGAATTTCTAATAATCTCTTATGAATTAATGTCACAGAGATGTCTGCAAGCTGAAGAAAAAGCCTGTTGCTTCACTTGTATACCTCAGTAATAGTTGTGCTTTTATCTGGAGAAAAATGAGATTAATATGTACTCTGTTACAAGTGTGCATTCAGGTGAAGAGTGCTAGTGTCAAAATGGGAAGGTGGAAGTCTTTCAAAACCCATGTGGGAAGTGGACATGGAACAATGAAAGATGCACTTTGTGATGAAATGGGCTATTGGGGTGTTCCTGTAAGAAGCCCTACATATGAGAGAAACAGATACACTGAAGTATACACAGATCATTCATATATATACATATATATGAAACTATAATTTAGTGTTGGTTGCTGACACTCCACCTCTGAAATCTAGACCTGGAGGTGTCATTCTGGAGTACCATAGTTGTTCTGCACTTTACTAGGCACGATAGTCATTTTCAGGGACTTGTTGATGTTGCTTCTGAGGCCCAAAGGCATCTTACTGGTCTACCAATGTTGCTGCTATGAATTTTAGAAGATCAACCAAGATAGCCTTTCTGTGACACTCCTCCCAGCAAAGGACTTCCTCCTGTTGTTTTTCTCTCACTAGATATAGTGATTTGTGGATTACTCCAGTGTGCATAGTAAGATTAGTAATGGACTTAATGAAATTTCTTACTCCCCTTGCTGGTTAAGGCACCTGTAGTTAGGATTTGCATCTCTCTATCAGCCCATTGCAGTTGCTAAGCATGAATGAGATTGTCTTCAGTGCTAATGATGTTAGATGAGTTCAAATCAATCAGTTCTGTCAGTATTAATTGCTGTATCTGAATGGAAACAGCTGTATTACTTGAAGGCTCTCTTGTGCAAGTCAATGAGATTCTCTTTTTTCAGTGTCTCCCATTTTAATGCACTTGATGAGATGCAACAATTGGTACATTGAGAATCCTGGTGTTGCTGTCGAATTCCAAGTGGAGGGGCAGAACTGTGTAGAAGGCACAAAAATAATAACAAAAGGCTTGTAGCAGAACAATCTTCAGCTAGGCTAAGTGCCTGAACCTTTCTTTTTCAGAAGCAGAAAAGTTACAGATAAATGTAACATTTATATGGCCACTGTAATTTTGTAAGAATGCTTCCTTGCACCTTCATTATGCAAACAAGGAGAAAACACTACCAGTGTGATCATCAGCAGAGGCTTTTTTAGCCAGCTTTAATAATTTGGGAGTTTCTTTTAAATATCTTCTTAAATATGTACATTTTCCTAATCAATTGATTATGGTCAACCAAGTTGAGAATTTTTGTTTGATACAAATGTTTGCAATAAAAAATGTGGCATTAAACACTGAAAATGCAGCAGTTTATTTTAGTAGAAGGTCAGTTGAATGAAGCAGTTAAAAACTGCTTCTTCCTGTACCTCCTCTGAGAGATAAATAGAAATATCATCCTTCGAACATTAAATCCTTCTGCTTGCCCCTCTCTCAGCTGTCTGAAAAACACACCTGGTGCAGAGGGCCTTGGCCTACATGCTGGTTGTACTTTTGTTTCAACAAACCAATGTGTTTTATCTGTTGCCATTTCAGTATGCTCTTCAGAAAATTACAAAAGAACAAGAATTTCTGAGAACCAGTGGTTTTTGATTTGTACCCTGAAAGTTGCAAGAGCACATGTCCTCAGTGCCCTGTCATCAAATAGGACCTCGCTGAAGGTGACCATATGTCTGTATCAGAAAGGCATTGAGATCAATTTACTCCCCATTTTAATCTCCTCAGAAGAAACTAACTTGACAGCTCTTCATGTAGCTTTATGTGAAAGACCAAAGTTGTTTGTGTTGGGTTTGCTAGTTTTGTTTTGTTGTGTTTTTTGTTTGTTTTGTTTTGTTTTGTTTTACCCTCTGCTTTACAATCTTCATTTATATTGTGTGTAGCCTACCTGGATATATTTGTCAAACTAATTATTATGTTAGTTCTAATTTAAGTATACAGCCCAGACTCTGTGCATGATTTCCTCCCCACCCACATGGTGCCATTTCTCTGATTTTCATTAATTTATCCTGGGGGAGGGGGAGAAAGCTTAACAGAAACAACAGTCAAACTCTAGAGAAGTCCTCTATTTTAATTTCCTTCCGTAATTTGATGTCAGAGATCAGCCTAGGTATTTTTGTTGATCAGGAAAGCCTCCAAGAGTTCAGATTTCAGCCCACCTCTCCGTGTAAGGCTGGGAAAGGAGCAGGAGCACAGAGCCATGCATTCCCTGAAGAGTGTGTCACACTTGCCTTTCAGGTCATGGCTTTCACTAGGCAAAGAGAACCTCCTAACCAAGGATCTTTTTTATTTGTGTAGTTTGTATTCAGGCTCTTCACTAGCCGTCATGTTTCTTTATTGAAAATACTGAGGGGAAAAAAATCCACCTAACAAGGAGAAGAATTGCTTTGTATCCACTTTGGTATTAAACTTAATGGCGTATAAAGAGTTTATTGGTAACTGCTCTGTTTTTTATTTGTAAAATTGGTGGATAATGGAGGCTGGTAAAGATCCCTAGAGATTATCTGGTCTTAAACCTCATTTCAAACAAGGTTCAATTCAATCAGGTTGCTCAGGGATTTGTCAAGGTTAGAACTTCTTCAAGGATGGAAATGCCACAACCTCTTTGAGCAACTGGTGCATAGTAAATAATGATAATAACAAGAAAGAGGAAAAAATCCTTTTATTTAGTTGGTATTTCCCAGCTTTTCAGCTGATCTGTTCTATTGCACTGTCTCTGCATATTCTCCCATTAGAGGGTTGTAGAGAGCAATGAGATCTCCTCTGAGCCTTCTCTATGGTGAGCACACTCAGGTATCTCAGCCTCTCCACATGCTTCCAACTTCAGCCATCTCGGTGGCCTTCCATTAGACACAGTTCCTTGTGTCATTGTCATTGGTGCACTGGGAAGCCCAGAAGGGGACACAGGACTCCCAGGTGGGATCTGACCAGTGCCAAATGCAAGGGAATGCTAACTTCCTTCAGTCTGCTGGCTTGTCCCATGTCGTGATGCAGTTGACCTTTTTTGCTCATGATCACTTAATAAGCAAAAGCCACCAGCAATTTTCTCAATTAAAATGATTAAAAGTGGCTTCATCCTGGCTTAAACCAGGACAGAGTCAGAGGCTGAGAAGTTCTGTCCTTTCCGAGTCACCTAGCTGCCTTCCTTTATTACTGCCATTTAGGTGCCTTCTGAGAATTATTCCTAGTGTATCCTTCGGAGTGACAGGGCATGGGAATTGCTGACTGATGTTTGGTTGACACTGAAATTCACCTGCTCTCTTGCTTTTACTTTTTCATCATTCAACAATGGTTGTGAGTGCCAGGCAGGTGTTTGGTGTCAGCAAGTAAGAATGTATATCCCCTTGTTTTCTCCATGCCTGAGAGGAACAAGCATCAGCTTGGTGTCCCCTCCCACTGAAACACACACATTGATGGCAAAAGCTTTTTCTTTTATCTTTTAGCTTGGATCAAAAAATAAGTGTTCTAGGGAAGAAAAAGATCAAAGGATGCTTTGTTTTTTTCATTCATCACAAAGTGAGAATTATTCCTCTTTGCCAGAAATGTGGTAGACAAATATATATGCAAAAAGGAGATATCAAAGACTGTCAAAATATGTAGCAATCAAACATTTTGTGTTACAGCAACCAAAGCCAGTTTCTGGAGGGTAGAAGAGAAAAAGAAAAAGAACAGGAATACAAATTAGGCAACCAGCTATTTTAGCTCCTCCAGATTTTATTGCAATATTTTTTATAAAATAACATTCTGATACCTGAAAGTGATTACTTTCAAAGTCAGTAAGGTGTGAACTCAGAAGAAGGATGCCCAAATATAAATGGAAACATGGAAGTAAAGTTCTTTAGCTGCCTTCTCCAAAGAGAAGCTGTGCTGCTTGTTGAGCACATCGTTTCTGTTGTCATTTAATGCGACTGAATAACTAGGATCTACAATGAATGTTAGTACAGCAATTTGTAAATGTGTGTTATGATTCTGAAGATTCCATTTATCCTCTCTTAATTTTTTAGTCCTGTTGCACTTCATTATGTTCAGTAGTAACTGTATTCATTGTAGTATGTATAGATTTTTAAGCATCTTGTAACCCACTCTAACCTTTATGAATATTATGTGCTATAATGAAAATTCACTGCATTCAACAGTAATGAAATTGTTCTCCCACCTAGGAATTAAGTATGCTGGCTTTTAGTAGGTAAAGGTTTTGGAAAGCAGGAACTGGGCAAACTTGTGTCCATTAAAGGCTGTGTGTAAGGGCTCTTATTAGGCTGTGCACTTAGGTGATCCACATTGTGTGCATTTTCAAGGCTTGCATCTGTTTTCATCTGTTTAATACAGCATCTGAATATATGAAGATCTGCCTTCGAGTGTGAAATGATGTCACTATATTTTATAAAAGAGAAATGTTAAAAATATAGTACAGGAAGGGTGTTCCTGTTTGAGTTCACTCTCTTGTTGACACAGGCAGAAAAGTTTTATTATTATGTTTAAAAGCTCATCAATCTTTACCTTAAAAATAGGGCACCAGTCTCAGTTACTTTACCAAAAGCTGTTTCTTTACACCAGATTTATGACTGTTAGAAAACTCCTGATTTCAACCCTATATTTTCACAGGTGCTGTGTGCTTATTTACTGTTGTACCAATATTGTCCCCTACAACTCTTCTCTATGGAGAATTCTTCCTTTGTCCTATTAGTGCCTCTTGCATTATTTGAGCTGGCACTTTCAGTAAACTGTTCCTATTTCTTGACAAAGATAACTGAAAATTTTCAAGAAAATAAATCTCCCATTCAATTGCTTCCCTGGTACAAGGGTACATCTCTGTCATGTTTTGGCCTATACCTAAAGACCCCCTTCCCTTTTTAGCATTATGCTGTTCTCCTTTCTTATATCTGTCTTACGTTGTGCAGTTCTCAGTTTATCCTGAACTCTTCTGAACTTCACCCACAATTTTCCCTTATTTTTTTATTGGGCAGTTCCCTTTATTCTTGTAGTTTTACTACTTATTTTTTACATCCTTAACTGATGTATGGCATCTTGTCCAATTAGCTGCTGCTCTTTGCTTTTATTTTCTATTTATGATTGTTCTTCCATCACATCCGTTTTAGTCCTGTAATGATTTGGATTTACAAAACTTCCACTTCAGTTCCTTCCCTGTGCTGGTCAAGACCTCTTGCACTTCTGTACAAATATGTCAGTTATTCCTTTCTGACTTCTCCCTGTCAAGTTAATTTTTAAGGTGCACATTTTCACTTCTGATATCTCCTTTCCCATCTTCTTTATTCTAACAGAGTCACTGGAGGTGAATTGTTTGAAGATATAGTTGCTAGAGAATATTATAGTGAAGCAGATGCCAGGTAAGTAATTTGTTTTTCTAATGTTGTCTTTAGTAATTACTTAATAGTTACTTAATTATCTCATGGTTTTTGGCATCAGTTTCCCAAGAACAGTCTGTGAGACTCTGGGATTCCTCCTAGAATGCTCTTAGACTTGGGAGGGGACAGTTTGGTGTTTTGAGCTCATGACTGTGTGGTGGTGAACTCATATGGAGTCTGGATATCCGCTGATATGAAAAAGGTGAAATTGGATCTCAGTTTGTTAAAATCTTTGTCAGCTTGTGAAGTTGTTAGAATCTTACCCTATTTTCTCTTCTGCAAACTGGGCATAACATTTCAGCTATCTCATATAGAGATTCCTATATTTGCTGATCAAAGTTTGCAATGTATGTTGGTCTTGAGAGAGTTTTGCATTAAACACATTTTTGTTCTCAGTCCAGAAATACTAATTTCCTTTTCATATTTAAACATTTTTGTTGTGTTTCATCAATAAGTAATTATGCTGTGCATCTCATAGTCTGAGCTCAAATACAAATCTCTAGCAATTTTCTGCAAGTGCTTGTTGAAAAATTGAAGAAGTTGACAATTATCATAATTTGCATGCTGGCATAAAGTATCAGGGCCATTTTTCCATCTCAGAATCTGTTTGCCCTCATGTAATAATATGACAGGGTGCTAAGCCAGCTCATATAAACTAGAGTAGTACCTAGAAGTGTTGGACCAGATGATTCTTGAGGTCCCTTCCAACCTGGCATTCTATGATTCTATGATATATCAAGTATCCTCATATAATTATGCATCTCAAGTGTTGTGGTCAATTGCTTTGAAGAAAATACATTCTACCACTACACCTTTCTCACAAAACTGATCTCAAAGTAAATTTAAAGAATCCTCATATTTTTGTGTGTTCATAGCCACACTCCACCATTGATACGTATTTAGTACATATAATTTTCAGTTATTCCTTTACATTTAGAATTAATTGGCTGATGACCAGAAGGCATTATGTGTCCCTGACAAGAGCAGCAGGATAACGATGGGCAAGCAAGAAGTTACTCTGAATTTTAGGAAGCTTCCACTGTTTGTTGCTCTTACTATTTTCTGTAGGAATGGTAGCAGTCATTACTTTAAGCATTTATATGTGGAACAACACATAGCAAAATACAATGGAGAAAACAAAATTAGTTATTTAGATGGGATGGAAAGAGAAGAGCTATGTTTAAAAAATTTCTTTCAATTATTTTTTGCCTGTTGCGATTCAAGCAAAAATTCTAATATTGATGCCAAAGGCCAACAAATGGTGTCAGTGTGTGTTTTTTAAATACTTGTGATTGAAAAGGTAAAATTACAATGATTTTTCTTTTTTTTTCTGTTCTACATTTATGACATATTGGAAGGGGCTGTACATATATATATATATACAGGATATATATATATATTTACGATTTTATATATTCAGTATAAACCTGATCAACTAAGTGAAATATCTAGTTATCACGCATCTCTGTATTTTTATATATCTCTCTATATATTTATTGCTCTCTGTGTGTGTATGTGTATATATATATAGTGTGTGTGTGTGTATCCCTATAGAAATAGTTAATGGACTTTCTGGATGCATATCCTAGGACTAATGATACTGGTCTGCTCCTGCAAGCCCTTACTCACACGAGTAGTCTTTACTCATACAAGCAGTCCAGCTCAGTGAGTTGTGAACTACTCGCTTTAAGAAAGGGTTTTCAGGCTTGGGCTCCAGTTACTGATTTATGACCATTCCTTCTGAATTCCATGGTCAAAACGTCTTGGATGAGCAGTATCGAATCTTTGGCCCTTGACTACTCTGTATTACTTACAGTCACTGATGTCTGCCACAAGGATATCTTCCAAAAAAATTTATAACCTCTTGTGGTGCCAACAAACCCTCTGAAAAAGTTCCAGTGCTCTAAAAGATGAATATTTGAGTTCTGCTTTTTGGCATCGTAAGTTGGCCAATACTTGCAAACCTGGGCATGGAAAAATAGGTGCTAATTAAATTATTTAAAGCACTGAAATAATTTATTTGTCGTACATTTTTAATGTGGATTTCCATTTCATGAGTGACTCCTAACTAAGCTAGTGCTTCATGGTATTTTTACATGAAAATGCATGCCACCTTTTTGAATGACTTGGCTTTCCTCCACTAATAGTTTTAAAGAAACCATTAGATGCAAAATGAGAAATGTTTTGCGTTTCCTTAGCTTTTGACTTTGTTTCATTTGGGTTTTTTTTCTGTGTATCGCTTCATTTCTGAACATTTTCTTGTTTCAGCACTTACTGTAATGTTAATTTCACTGTGAAAACTTTGAAAAGCAAAACATATGACTAATTGTTTTATTGCCTCCACTTTGGTTTTGCTATGGCAGTTTTTGGAAACTGGAAAAAGCTTCCATAGTGCTGAATGAAAAATGCGACCTAATTATTCTGTCTCATGGGTGTCATATGTTCCATGTTAAATGTCTTTTTTGCTTTGGTTTTGGTTATGTTTTTTTTTGTTTGCTTTTTTTTTTGGGGGGGGGATGCTTTATAGCTGAAAATACCTCTATAATCAACAGTGTTTTGTTCGAGTTCAGTGTGCAACCAAGACTTGTGTCAAGAAGGTGTAAAATTGTTTTTCTTCTTTACACTTTTAATTTTTTTAAAGTTTTCTTTTATTTTGTATTTAATGTGATTATGTGCCTTTAAAATGTTCTCCCTTCCATTCTGCCCTTGTATCTTTGCAGTCATTGTATACAGCAGATTCTAGAAAGTGTTAATCATTGTCATCTAAATGGCATAGTTCACAGAGACCTGAAGGTCAGTATCTGGTGCCCATCAATTGGATATAAGAGTTTTGGGGTGTCTTGTTTTTTTTTCTGCTGGGCAGGGGCAGAGGGTGGGATGTCTGCAATGTTCCCTTGCCTATCCTACTCACCCTGAAAACAACCAGCCAAACAAATAATGCATGATGCCTCTTTCCAGTTTGCAAGTCTACAGGCCTAATATACATCATGGCAAAAGGGGGAATGGTTGCCAAACAAACGGTCTCCTTCCAAGGCGCTGGATTTATCCCATGCTGTCGAACGTGTCTGGTGTTCTATTCAGGCTGTCCATGTATCGCTGTGTACGCACATGGAGGTGAATTTTGGCTGTGATGTATGTCAGCTTGCAGATGTAAACGCCACTTCTGTTCTGAGCCCTCGGGTTCTGCAGCAGCAGAGCAACCTGTCGCACGCTGCTGCACTCGAGCCTGACGAGCCCTCAGGCGAGCGATGCGATTTGCTGGCTAAATTGGACCCTGAGAACTTCCTGACTGACCCCAAACACTTCACTTGGAGTGGTGGTTGGTTCGGTTGGGGTTTTTTTTGTTACCTCAATGGCTGATACCATTTCTATTAAGGAGGAGAAAGCACAGAGGATGCCAAATATTTCGTACCACCGCATCAACAAACGATTGGCAAAATAATCCATATGCTCTTTGGGCCGTTTTCCTTCAAAAAAAAAGAAAAAAACGCCCTTTGGAAAAACACAAACCAAAATCAAACCCAGAACCAACCCAGCAGCTGACCCCACGCACATCTGCAGGGCTGGCCCCTTGCTGCCAGCCCCGTGCGGGGTGCCTG